TGCTAGTTATTCTTACATCACTATTTTTAGTGGTTAACTATTTTTTACGTTTGTATTTGCAATTATATATTTCAGTAGTATTACCGCAAGCAATTGTGAACATATATTCAACGTTCACAAAAAATCTCAACATTAAGCTAACAATGAATATTTATTAGTTATAAACTAACATATATACTAATAATCTGTAAGAATATCCTATAGGGATTAAATAAAAAGGTAATACAAAATATGTGTTGCAACCATTCCCCTTTAATAAAAAAAGTTACTTTATATAACATAAAATTAGTAATTAACTTTACTCAAAATATCTAAAATTCTTATATTAGGTCAATCCCATTAATAATTATATGTTATTACTGGTTTTTCAAAATTATAAAAACAGGATTAAATCTTTAAAAATCTTTAATATTTTCCATTCTACAAGGAGAATCTTGCAAAGAGGCCAATATCTGCATTGTTACCAAAGGAAGGGCAAGATTTTCTCTTCTACTAAGAATTATAAACCAATTTTTCATGAACAATGATTATCAAGCATTTTCATCAATTTTCGTGGACAAGACTAAACAAGTTCTTACAAGAGTTCATTCATGAAAATCAATCTACCTAAAAGACAATTAAAAAATAAGGTGAGAACTGTACTGGATGTAATAGAATAGCCTAACAAGGCAATGAAAAACAAACTGCATTAATTTTGTTAGTGGAGAGAAAGCTTTAGACAATCACCTGACAGAGTTTTTGTTATGGGGAAAGTAGGGGAGGAAGGTGTGTTGGATGTTTGCCGCCTTGAGTTATTTGTAAAAATAATAAAGGTGGGATACAAATAAATTAAATTAATGGTGCTTTGAATAAATCATGTGAAGGGAATAAGGTTGTCCACTGTCCCCTTTGTTATTTTTGTTTCTTGAAGTTTTGAACACAGGTATTAGACAAGGTGAGAAGATAATGGGCCCAAAAATTAAAAATGAGATCTTCAAATTCAGAGTTTTTGCTGATAATTTGGTTTTGATTTTACAAAACCCTCTAAAAAGGGACTGAGTTTTTGATGAAAAAATTGAAAGATTGTGGTACACTAGGTTTTAAGATTAATAAAGAAAAAAAAAGACAAAAATATGACTAAACAAGATGAAGACAATCAAATGAAAAAAATCAAGTTTTAAAAATGGCCTTTAAAAAGGTTGAATATTTGATTAGAAAATTGTATGTTGTTTCAAAATAATGTTAAGATATGGAATGAAGTTAAAAAAGATAGGTTGAGATGGGAAAAATTGCAACTTTCATTGTTGGGAAGAATTTCTGTGATTAATGTTTTACTTAGAATGTTATTTTTATTCCAGACATTATCTATACTGATGACTGATGTAACATTTAAGCAACAGCAAAAAGGTATTTCCAAAATTGTTTGGCAAGGCAAGAAACTGAGAATTAAATACAAACTGCTGCAGGTTGCTAAAGAAAGAGGGGAGTTAGAACTACCAGATGTTGCCATTGTATTTTGCAGCTTGCTGTTTAATATGGATGAAAGAGTGGGTGACTTTAAGAAATAGACAGTTATTGGAAATGGAAGAACATGATTTAAGACCTATTGTCATAGCTATTGGGATATGATAAAGTTAAATGCAGATTTTAAAAGTAATTTTCTTAGTCATACCTTACTGAAAATTTTGAATTGGTATAAAGCAGAAGTGTCTCCTAAAATTCCTTCATAGTTGTCATCCTAAGAAACCTTTTATTTGAAGAGAAATTAAACAAATATGGTTAACTTAACACTGATCTGCTAAATTTTTCCCAAGTATTTAGGTGAAAAACAAGAGAAAACCTGGAATTGGAAGACTTTACAACTCCATTGGATTCCCTATCCTCAGTTAATGGAAAGATTTAAACTTGGTAAGATTTATGAACTTGAAAATGCTAAGACTGATTTTAATGTGAAGTTGTATAGAAATGATGGTATTATTGCTAAAATGTACTAACTTTTATTGAAAATTAAAACAGGATAAACAAGTGAAAGACTGTATGATAAAATGGGCAAAATGGATATAACATACAGTTGGATCAATGGGAGAGTATGAGGAAGGATTTAAATTTACATTAAATTACAATCTTAAGGAATTTTTTTATAAAATGATGTATTCCTGGTATCTGACACTGGAAAAATTGTGAAACATATACAAAGGAATTTCAAATATTTCTTGGAAATGAAATCAAACTGAGGGTAATTTTTTCAGCTTTGATGGACATGCAAGAAAACTAGAAAATACGGAGATTGAGCATCTGATTCAGAAGATTTTAAAAGTAAAGGTATAATTGAAACCATAGATTTTTATTTGGGATTCAATGATAAACAAATGGAAACATTTTATAGAAACTCACTTTTTTATGTGATAACAGCAGCAATACTTTTGTATGCGCAAAGATTGAAGGGTTTACAAATACCTGTGGTCTGTACAGAAAGAAGTATGAAGAATGGATGGTGAAGCTGATGGAATTGACACAGATGGCAAAATTGACAGCTTTGAGTAAAGAAAATACTAATTTTATTTCTATTTGGAAATCACTTTTGGATTTTTTTGCGAGAAACGGAAAGAAATGTTGATTTGGGAATTTGACAATTAGAATTACACAGGATTAAAGAAATAACACAGACAAATGCTAAACTTATAGTAAAAGTTTATTTTTTAATTCATAATTGTACCAAAGAAAGTCAGAAGTCATTAAAGTTGCCATTATTGAGATGCTGTGTAAATTACAAAATAATGGGGCAATAATACAGTCTAATCCTTGTGCTGTTGAAATTGAATTGGCTAGCTACTGTTGGGAACCAAATCTTATCCTAGAGCTGGTATTGCTGTAAAGTTTATATATTAGGAAAAGCAATAATTTATCTATGTTGTTAGATGGTTCTTCATCTACAAAAGCTGAACAAAGGATTTAAAGCTACATTTCTCCACTAGGTGTTATAGGATTATCTCTTGGTCTATGGTAGATCTTGCTGGTCTAAAACCATCCTGTTCTTCAACTAGGATATTTTATGTTTGACACTACACTGAAATGTCTTCATTGCCAAACTTCTACAGACGAAGACCCCTCTTAACAATCCCATTACAGTTTCCTTTCACTGAAAATGTCAATGAAGGAGCCATAGATATCCAAAGCATTTGTATGTTCTACCATTTGAGCTATGTTCAGAAACAAAAATGAATGATGCTACCATCTTGCTTTATCTTATTGATTCTTCTAAAAACATTAATAAAGATTGTTCAAAAATATGAATATATTTGTTCATGTTCCTAAAAATATAAACTGCATGAACCTTATAGGAAAACTGTATTTGATCCTATACCAATTGGTGAGTAAAATTTTCATATGAGAACTTTAAGAACTTTCTCTGAAGTCCTATCCATTTAAAATACATTATTTTCCCCAAACTGTAAACAATTAAAAGGCAAACCCCATAATAATTCAGCAAACTAATGTGCTATTATTTTGTCTTGCATACCCTTTCTCAACATTCAATTACTTTTAAGCAGAATGCTTTTCCTGCTCAGGGTTTGCATAGTTTAAAACTCTGATCCCTAAAGCCCCTAACCATTCAATTTTTGAATTTCAAAATTTTAAAAAAATTGCTGTGGAGGCTTTTTTAGAATTATTATTTAATGCAAAAGGGACTATAAGAATTATATATCCAAGTCCATTCCCCACACCTAATTCATTCTGTTAAAAAGCACAATTATCTTATTTTAAAATGAGCTATAAAATCTGGAATTACGAAAACCTACCAGAAGGGGAAAAAAAAGCTTGTTTTAAGTTACCTTTACCTTACTCTAATTTAAAAACTACCGGCATCACTGTTTTTCTAATGGAGTCAATCAGAAAGTACATTTGTATCACCTACCGGTATTATATAACAGTCCTACAGCATTTCACATCAGAATTTACTGTGCTAAGCATACCACAATCATCCAAGGCTTATAAAGTTATCTGAGTTGTGTCTTCAACTCTTGTTTCATCAAACTGCAGATGGTCTTTAATTGTACCATCTATAAGACTACGGGTGCAATTTATAAAGTTCAAAATGCAAAATAGCGTGTAAGCGTTGCAGTGGAAAACGCCCTGGAACTAAAGTACATACATGACACATCAAAGGGTGTTGGTGCAAGGTATCACCACTCTTTTACGGCCATACCCGCACGGACAAACAGCCGCGGTCATGCGCTACATACAGTACTGTATTGTAATGCCGGACTGAATGGCAGGAAGCAACCCCTTCGCCAGCCCCAGTACAAAAACAGCCGCCCCCAAGGTCTGAAAATACAAGACGCGTGGAGAGTTTACCGCCACAGTCCACAACCAGGGCCCATCTGCAACTTGGGCCTCTGCTAGCCAACAGGGGAGGGCGGGGAAAGTCGATCGGGAAAGGCTCGGTTTCATGCCTGTGACAGGGGGCCATCCCCGCCTCATAGCAGGAGGAACATCGTGGCTCGCTGGCTGGGGAGCAGGCGGATGTCCCCAGGGGCCAGGGACGGAGGGGGCTGCGGTGCAGCAAAAAAAGCAACGCCTGCCAGAGCTTAAGGCAGCTGCTGCCAAGCGGTTGGGCTCTCCTCTCCCCTCACCGGCAGACCTCGAGCAGCCGCTGAGGGAAACCAGCAACCAGAGACCACTTCGGAGGGAAAGCAAGCGAACCGTCGCCTTCGCCGCTCACTACAGCAAACCCACCGGGAATTGGGGCGGGAGAGGCCGGGAGGGGGGGGGTGTCGTAAAGACAGAGAAGAGCAAAATGGCGACTGCGGCGCTTCGTCCTATTCCACCCGAATCGAACCTCCTTCTCGGGCCTCAGAAGGGGGGAAACGAACAGCTCGGGCCTCCTCGGGGCTACCCCACTAATCTCTCCCCATCCGCGGGCTCTTGCGCGCGGGAAGGATCTGGCAGAGAGGCGTCTGGGTTTCTTTCCCGGCCTTCTCGCCATCGGCTCTCCCCCTCGGTCTTTTCTATCACTGTACCTTTGAATTTTAGGTCGGTGGGCGGATCGAGCACCAGGATCTGCTCGTGCTTGGCCAGGACTCCGGCGGCCGCCATCGCTGCTCACACGTTCGCTCGCTCCAGGAGGAAGCAGAGGGCGGGCAGGGGGGAGGACGTTCCGCCGGGGAAGGAGGAGGGAAGCCTTCCGAGGAGGACTTGCAACGGCGGCGGCAAGGCTCGCAGCCGCCCCCTCCTCGTAGCCCCCGCAAGCACGCGGGCGCAGAAGCGTGCGGGGTCAGCCGCTGCCTTTGCGTTGCTGTCTTCCCGCCTCCCTTCGCTGCCCCTGTAGCAACTGAGTCACTCGCTCCCCAGCGCACTGCGATCAACGCCAACTCTGGCGCGGGCACGAGGACAGCGGCCGAGAAGTTCGAGCACCCGCGCGCCAGCCGTGCGGGGAAACAGCGCGAGCGCGGGCGCGAGCCAAGACAAACGCCGTCTCCGCGCGCTCCCCCTTCTACCCTTCTGTCTCCCAGCTCTCGTTGGTTGACAGCCCGCTAGTTGGGAATTGGCGCTGCTGCTGCTGGCGCCGCCGCCGCCAGGCTCTCTCTCGCAAGCTCCGAGAGTTGTCACGCGCGAGGGAACGTAAAGCTCAAAGGCAAAAAAGAGTCAGTCGGGAGGGATTTCTCTCCAGAAGGGGCAGCGCGCGTGACAACTTGGCTGACCCGAAAGGGGAAAATTGATTCAAGGACGTTAGGCATCAGAAGCTTCAACGGAGCCGAAAGAAAGGCTTGATTGCTTGAAACTCCAGGCGTAGAGCGCGTACCCGCATTTCGGTTGAGGTGCATTCTGGGAAGTGTAGTCTTCAAGTAAATGGGAAAGAGGACTTACGTCGCGCGCCCTTGGCTGTCTAAGAACTTGACTGTCGACTTTAGTCTGCTTAAGTGACAATTCTCTGTCACGACTCAAAAGGGGAGAGCCTGAATTAGGGCTGCATAAATCCAGATGATCTTTAGGTGTCATCAAAGAGATACATATACTCAGGGCTTTTTTGTCATAGAACGGACTTCTGGCACCTTTTTTTGATGGAACCTTGTAGGGTAGGCAAGGGGGGTTGTATGATGTCTGTGAGTTCCAGCACCTTTTTTTTTTTTTTTTTTTACAAAAACAGCACTGCATATACTGCATATACATCGAGTCGTTTTCGACTCCTAGCGACCACATAGAAATAGTGGAAGCCTGAGATTTTGCAATTCTGATAGCGCTCTAGTGATTAGCTTCTCAATGAAACGAACATCAAATCTCCCTTTATGCTACATTAACACAATGCAGAGGAATCTTTAAGTTTAATCAAAATAAAAAGGCATTTTCCCACGCTAAAAGAGTAGAATACAGTGCAATGTGCGTTTATTCAAGAGAAAATTTTTGATGAGGGCTGCAAATACCTGGGCGACCGCTAGGTGACAGCAAACTTACAGAAAAGGCTAATAGTCCGGATGCTTGCAGCCCTGCCTGTAAGGTTGCCTGTTTAATACTTAACATCAATTCAAAACTGACCAATTTGTTTGCTCTGCAGAATTGGTGTTCTTGTTCTGATAACCGTTTAACTGCTTAGTTTGTTAAACACTAATATAACTGAATATTAAGAGCAAAAGGTGCAAAAAGCACCATTTACAAAAAAAATATAACTCTGCCTTACTTCATCCTTTCTAGAATAAGGCCCACTGTAAAGTGTGCTAAGCTACAGTTTGATTATGATTCATTAAACAAATTAGAATTGGTTGGCTTTACATATTAAGGCAATTGTAAACAAATTAAATTATAGCATAACAATATTCTAACTTCAGTGCTTTCTAGACTGACAGCTTTTTTAAAGTACTGCTGTGCCATGCTGTCATACAAAAATTGTCTGGAAGAAGGTCACACTGAGATGATAATGCAATCTAATGTTAAATTAAGGTTCCCACTGTCAAATAAAGGGGGGAGCCCAATGTGTATAATGAAGAATGAAATGCATAGTAAGGTACTGTACTGCATGTATAACTGAGCACCAGTGATTGAACCCTTTCTGTTTAGTAGCCTATTTTAAAAGATACATGACATGAGCTGGCATTTTTATCTGCACAGGTGTATAGATGTATATGTATTGATGTGTAAGCTGCAAAAGGATCTGACCTAAGGTTGATCAGATAGGAAGTTGAAGATACCCAATAATTTACTGTCTGCAGATCACCGCCTGTTTTCCAAAGTATGAATTAAAAATGAGGAAATGAGTTAAACATCAAACCAAAATAATGACCTCCGGGAAGGAAAATATATTTTACAAAATGTTATCAAATCATGTACAGTGTAATGTCAAGCAGACATTTTCATTCCAGTAATTGCAAAATTACCAAACTGAACTGTATACTCTTTAATAAATGTACTTCACAGTAATGTCAAGCTCTTGGCAGTTGACTGAGACCAAACAGCAATCTTTTTCACAGGCACAAATCACATAGGATCTTCTTACAGAGATTTACTGGAAAAAAAAGGCTTTCACTACTGGAATTATGTCTCATTTAGAACTGATTTCTCTAAGAAAATTAGCGCCTTTCATAATTTCTAATGGATTTTCTATGAACTGTCAAGGATGCAAATCTTGTTACTGATAAGGTTGCAGGTATGTATTAACCAAACTGTCTCTTGAATCCTTTAAAATGTAAGGGTCATCCCAGATGTACAGTCATGTATTGTTTGAAGTAGTCTTTAGGACTTGCATTCAATCATGTTTAATTCCATGTTTATTTCAGAAGCAATATAGACAGAAGTAATATACAGACAGTCCTCCACTTACAACCACAATTAAGCCCAAAGTGTATGTTGTTAATTAAGACATTTAACTGAGTTTTGCCCCACTTTACAATCTTTCTTATCACAGTTGTTAAGTGAATCACTGCAGTTGATAAATTAGTAACCCGGTTGTTCAGTGAATCCGGCTTCCCCATTGACTTTGCTTGTGAGAAGGTCGCAAAAGGAGATCGCGTGTCCTTGGGACGCAGCAACAGTGATCAATATGAATCAGTTGCCAAGTATCTGAATTTTGATCACATGACCATGGGGATGCTGCACAGTTTGTAAGGGTGAAAAACAGTCATAAGTCACATTTTTCAGTGCCGCTGTAACTTTGAATGGTTATTAAATGAACTGTTGTAAGTCGAGGGCTAGCTGTACCATCATATGAATGCTTCCCATCTATAGGTCGTCTTGTAGACTGAGGACTCTCTTCTGAAGGTCTTCTAGAATCTAGATATATGCTTAGGAACGTCCCATGTTTTTTGTATTCCTTGGTTAGAAATTTGACAGTATCTTGGGTTCAGGGAAAACTTTAATCAGATATCACTGAAAGCAGTCACATAGAAGAAATTTATTTGTGAATACATAACACAGAATGAACCAACATTTATTGTGGAAAATGCCTCCTCTATTCCTTGTTTGCTTCTGCCATCAGAATAATCAAGCATTAATAAATGTAGCATAAAAACAGCCTTGTCATTTTGAATTATAGTACTTGAAAGGACAGCTCCTCAATCGTGGAGAAATATGATTTGGGGTAAGCTAGACATTATTTTAGCACAGAGCGGCATGTAAACATAACTTCCTCTCTACGTTTAACATTATTCTGAACTTTTGCACAAATAAGGAATTCTGATTTAGAGAACAGCTTCAGCATCATTTATTTTATTTGGAAAATTTATATTTGGAAGCTCGATAACCATCATATTTCTTATCATAGTTTAAGGAAATACAGTGTGAAAGATGAATTATCTAAATTCATTTTTCTCTCAGTGAAACCAAAAAGTAAAAAAATCCAGTCAGGGATTGTTGAGGGAAGAGGTAACACTATACACGCTATCCTGAGCGCATGAAAAAAAAATCCAACAAATAAAATACAATTCTGTTTTTTAAAATTAATTATCATTTATTTGTTCCCTGTTGAATTTACTATGAATAAACAGCATAATTGCTTGCAAGCAACTCTGTGACATATCATGGAATCACAATGTTGGAAGTGTCCTCAGAGTCCTCTTGCTCCAGCTCAATGCAGGAACTGCTAAAGCATTTTACACAGATGGTCATCGCACCTCCAAAGGCCTCTAGTGAAGGGGAATGCATCACTTCATGAGGCAATGTATTCAATTGTTTGATAGCTCTAGAAATTCTGGCTAATACCACTATCTAATCTGAATCTAGTTCCCTGGTGATTTCAACCCATTGGTTCTGCTCTGATCACTGAGGCAATGGAAATCTGTCCATTCCTTCCCTCTATAGGTCAATTCTTTAGATACCTAAAGAATGCTGTTATGTTTCCCATCACTTCTCTATTTGCAGGATAAGCATATAAGTTCTTTTAACCATGCCTAGTACAAACTCATTTCCAGTTCTCTTATCATTTTGATTGTTCTTGTATCTCTCATTTTTTATTATTGTCCTTTTTAGACTGCAATGCCAGAACTGGATTACAATATTCTTAACCGGGACCTGACTGTGCACTTGGTGGAGCAGTGGGGAAAGATTTGGAAATACAGTTTTCTCAAAATAGGCCCAGGTTAAGAGATTATGCAATCCTGAACTAGATGGGAGAAGAGGTAAGAGGTTCAGAGTACCCCCCCCCACCTTTGACTCCCTCAGGAAATATATAGCTGGTTAAAAGGATATAGCTTTAATTTTGCACGATTCTGTGTAAGCAAATAAGACTAAACTTGATTGAATTTTGCTGTGTCATCTCTGGTTTGGATTTGATCTAAATTAAAGGAGAGTAATGTGGGAGAATTAATTATGTCCTGTCATCTGTGATCCTGATAATATATTTTAAAGTATCATAAATAAAGATGCCAAGAGTTTTTAGGTGCAAAAATAAACCTAAAAATTGGGGGTTTGGCTTATCTGTGGATGGGCTTATTCTCAAGCATATACTATACAATAATATGTTTTTAAAGTACCAAATTTCCCATATATACTTAAATCATCCATAAACAGACCTTTGAGGTTTTAGCCAAACACCATGAAAAGTGTGAGTCGGTTTATTCATGGGTGGTGATTTTTTATGGTATGGTAGCTAAAAGTTTGTAGATGGTGTTATGAGCGAGCATATGTAATAACACTTGTCTTTTTAACAGGTGAATCACACTGTTGGCTCCCACTGA